CTATATATTTTTAGTTGTTCAATTAATTTCTTTCTAATTTTAGTAGAGATGGGGTCTCGCTCTTGCTCAGGCTGGTCTCGAACTCCTGAGCTCAAACAGTCCGCCCGCCTCGGCCTCCCAGAGAGCTAGGATTACAGACGTGAGCCACCGCGCCCCCGGCCGGTTGTTTTTATTTTAAAGGGGGGGTAGGGGCTGGTAAAATCAAATAAGTAATGAAGTTAATGTCATTAGAAGCCAATAGAGTAAAAGATATATATTAATAGCTGTTAAATTGCAAACATTGAATAAAAATTCTATAGTCCTAAATTTGAATAGGAAATACCAATATGGACTCATGATATATTTTCTTTTGTAAAACAACATGTTTGCTAGCCAAACATGGGACAATTTTAGCATCAATGAAGGTAATAATTTCAGTGGATTGAAGCTTAGCTAGTGTGTTTAAATGCATGATTTCATAATGAAACAAAAAAAAGTAATCACCAATGGACAATGCTAGCTATTTTGAAAACTGACAAATTAAGGTAAAGAATCAAACATTTATTCTGCCTTCCCTATATGAACTCTATCACTGAGTAACCAAATATTAGACAAGAAGTTTCTCTATGGTGATATTTCAACTACAAATGAATACGCTTGAGCCTTTTGCTATTAATAAAAGAACACACCGTCACAAATGAAAAATAGTCTTGCCAAAAAAATTACATTGGAATTTGATTAAGCCTCTAGATCTGGCTACCAGTTTAGAGGAAAATACAGAAAAATATGATGTTAAATTGCAAAACTTAGGTAAAAATTCTAACAATCCTAATTTCTTCAACAAATAAACTAGAGGGTTAAAAAAGCTAGAGATGCAGGGTGACATAAAAGTGATAAGAAACTCAGACATGTCAATTGCAATGTGCAGACTTTATTTGAAAACAAAAAACTGTCCACTCCTCCCTTCTACCACCACCATTTATGATTTTTGAGACAATTGGTCATTTGAATACTGGTTGGCCATTTAATATTAAGGAAATACTGATTTTGCTTGTGCATATGTGTGATAATGGCATTATGATTATGTTTTCAAACAACACTTGTCTTTTAGACAGATGTTGTGAAATATTTACTACTGAAATGTCAGGATGTTTAGAATTTGCATCAAAATAATACGAGGGTGGGAGAGTGCATGTAAATACAGATAAAACAAGATTGGCCATGAGTTGATGATTGTTGGAGCTGAGTGGTGAATAATACCTAGGAGTTTATCATGTTATTCTATTTACATTTCAATATGTTTAAAATTCCCCAAAATAAACATTTTTAGAAAATCTAATATTTCCCAACTTTGACCACTGATAAGACCTAGAAATAATGAGCAATCTGATAGCAGCGAACATCCCTGGTATCCAAATAGTGGCCTCTAGAGACACTGTCGCCTTTTGGAGGGTAGCAGCTAAGCCTGTGGATGCCACCCCAGAAGCAGGAGCTATCATATCCCCTCCTCTTCCATTGCAACCAGTAAAGGCCGTTAATACCGTAAGAAAAAAAAATAACAAATGAATAAATAAAGTCACCTCCCACTAAAGATACCAAGATACCTGAGAGAAATGACTGATTCTGGGCTTGCAGCTGGAAATGTACAATAATAGCCGGTAAAACCTGGACTACTCAGGTCACGTCTAAAGGAACCAGCTTTAGTTCCCAAAGATGGGACATTTAGAGCATCATTTAAAATTATAATTGCAGTTGATTAGAGTTCATCAAATATGTCCAAATCTCTGTATTCACAGTGATACTAAAAAAGAAAGACCAACAACTCATTGGTCACTTTTGGAAGATGCTAGAAGCCCATTTATTATTCTGAAAACCATTAATTAGTGAAAAAAGAATCAAGCATTTAATTTGCCTTTGTTGTATGAACTGTGGCCCAGGGTAACCAGGTAGATGATAAAGGAAAGTTCTTTATAGAGAATTCTAGCTAATAAATGCTGGAGGGATGATAGGATTAGAATTATCACCATTTTGGAACCCATGAGGAAGTATCGGATCTAGGCAACTAATGACTGCTAAAGGCATTAGATGAAAGGCTGATGGAGAATCTTAGAATGGGTAGATCCTGCTGATAACACCTTAACACAGTTCTCAGTCTTAATACTGAAAGCAGACTACCAGATTTTATAGCATTATGTCTGGAGGCACATAGACGCAAGCACTACCTTTGAGATGTTTTTGTCAAAAAAATTGAATATGGATTTGATCAAACCACCAGTTTACAGGAAATGCATGGGGGAGGCATTATGGGAAGTGACACCACAGAGGTTTAATCAGCAAAATCTAAAGTGTGGGAAACTATAGATGACCCTATTTTTTCTAAGGTAAACAGCAAAAAAAGAAAAAAAGAGGGAGGAAATACATGTCATCAAATATAATGTATGAACTTTGTTTGGGTCCTGATCTGAACAAACTTTTTAAAAACTTGAGACACTGGATGTCTGATGTAGAGGATAATTTTTTAAAGATACGATCATGGCAATGTTTTTTAGAGATAAATACTGTAATATTTGCAATTGCATGGTATGCTGTCTGGGGTTCACTTTAAAATAATCCAGCGTATGTGTATATTGGTCTAGGGAAGTGTAGACAAATGAAGATCAACTGTTACTGTTAATTATTGAATCTGGGCCCTAGATACGTGGGATTTGTTTTTTGATTCTACTTTCATGTATGTTTGACATTTTCTATAATAAAAAGCTTAACAGAAAAGCGGTTTGAAGTTCTGCTTGTTGTTTTCTCTTAGAAATAACCCCCAGCATCTTGCAGAAATTTTTTTTAACTAAAAAATAGACAATGACTTATATAGTCAGATGCAGTATAATTTAATATGTTGATAGTTTATCCATATATAAACTCAAATATGAAGCGATGTATCCTGGTTCAAGAGATCAGCAGTGTATGAATTTCAGAGCAACAGATGTCTTGTAGCTAATTTTATTTTTTTTCTCTGAATGTATTATAGTTGAAGCTTCTTGTCATGGTGGAGATGAGACAATTGAAACTATTGAGGCTGCTGAGGCACTCCTCAATATGGATTCTCCTGGCCCTATGCTGGATGAGAAACGAAGTGAGTGGTTATGACTGTTCATCTTTATGTATTTTGTTAAGTTATTCTTGTCATTTCTCTGTATTATTTGGTAAATATCAAGAGATTAGAGACTGTCTTATATTTAATTTGGAAAATGAAGCTTTTAGGAAAAAAAGTCATTTATGAGTTATCAAACAGATTATGTAGAATTTTTTCTCTTAACCTCATTGGTGAAAGTATTTGGGTATTTAGGGTCCAAACTGTTATAATTTAGTCATCTCTATAGATACTCATCAATGAATAGGGAAAAATATATTGAAAATTTTACTAACACTTTGTGGCATAAAATTTACTACCACGTTACTGAATTTTCTTTTTTTTTTTTTTTT